AAAACGAATCCGGAGGATTCGGCGGGTGCGCGTTACCGACGAGTCTTAATAGGGCGAAACGGCCACCCAGCGTTTCCCTGGACGTGTGGTGGCAGTCTACATGTGTCTAACTGCGACGGAGCTACACAAAAGCTTATTAAATCCCCATACTACTTACAAATAATCAGTAGTCGCCTCAGCAGCCTACTCGCCACCTCGATTGGTGGCGGCGTGCAAAGGAAGTCGTTGCTCTGGAGGCCAGTCCTGTTCTCTGCACATTCATAATATGCAAGACAGTGAAGGATGAGCCGCGCTATATCGCAGTTAGCTATCAGTCAGGTCGATCCGCTGCCGTCACCCATGGATCAGTGACAAGTCGCTGACTCGCAAGTGTAAGGTCGTGAGTTCGAATCCGGCAGGATTCGGCGGGTGCGCGCTACTGACGAATCCCAATAGGACGAAAAGGAGGTCTAGCGTTTTCCTGGATGTGTGGTGGCTGTCCGCCTGTGTCTAACTGCAACGAATCTACACAAAAACCTGTTAAATTCCTCTACTACTTACAAATGATTTTGACCGTATTTGAAGTAAAAGTTTTACCGTCTGGAAATTTTGTAGAGGGAAAAAATAATAACTAGGTGCCAGATCCGGAGAATATGGTGGGTGTGGCAGCGTGCCCTGTTCAAGCTGTAACAGATTTTAGCGAGTTATCAAAATTGTATGAGGTCTCGCATTATCTTGGTGAAACACTACATCTTTTATTGATAAATTCTGGTCTTTTCTGTTGAAGTGCATCACTCAGTTTGTCCAGCGGATGGCAGTACACTACAGAAATGACCATTGTGTTGTCCGGCAGAAGCTAAAAAAGCGATTGGTTTGAAATCCCACCAAACAGACAGCAATACCTTTGTGGATGAATATCGGATTGCGAAGGGCTTTGAGTTGGTTCGGCTTTTTTACTCCGTGAACTCTTGCGATGTTGTAGACAATCCATTTTTTGTTCCCAGTGCTGATGCGCTTCAGAAATGAAGCATTTTCATGACGTTTGAGAAGCAAATCAATGACGTCAACGCGACGCAGGAGGAACCCATATATCGAGCTTTGTGATGAAACCTAGGCGTTTTAAATGATCATGAAGGGTCTTATTCGATAAAATTTAATCTCAGAGATCTGACGAGTTGTTATTCGCCGGTTTGCATCAATTAATGCAAATTAATTAATTGATTAATGCCGGGTCAAAACTTTACAAACCAGTTTTGGTACCGGCTTTCTGTCAAGACATCCTCATGCACATCTGATAATACTTCGCTTGCTTGAACAGCATTTTTATATTTTTGATAGTAAAAATGTAAAATATGCCGTAAATGTTGCTTACCACGTCTCATATTTGAAAGGACACCAACCCAAAACCATTGCGTAAAATCAATCGAACTTTTGCGCAAGCAAGCCTTACTATATCAAGTGTCAAAATATACTGAATTGTGGAAGCAAGTATAAATTTGAATATGTACAACTCCATCGAAACATGGTCAAAAAGGTTAAAAAGCACAATATGACTCATCAATACGCTGATCGTTTTCCACGCTCTCACGTTAGATGGTTAAACAATCGTTTAACTCACAGTAGATTAGGTCTCAAAAATGCGAGTTGCCTGTGGGTAAGCGTTCACAGAACATGATATTTGAGAAATGCACGTCCAATATTCGTTTGGGCGCTCAAACGTAGCTTCCGTACATGGTCTTCTGAAGAGGTTGCCACTCGCCTCTTCTCTTCCATCATTAGACCAATGCTAGAGTACGGTTCGCCCGCCTACTTTCCGATTACCCGAGGCGAGGCACAAAAAATCGAACGGGTCCAACACGTTGCTACCAGGCTCATCCCGAGTTTACGTGGCTTGGGGTATGAAGACCGGTGTGAGAAACTAGGATTCTACACCTTGTCCTACCGTCGGGTGCGAGTCGACCTCATTATGACTTACCGTATTCTACATCTCGATGACTTCCCAATGCTAAGGCCAATGCTGCACTTACGAGGGCCATGCAGCACACGCGGACACGATACAAACTTGTCGTGCCGGATGTGAAATGTGTTCCCCACCCACTGTGCTTCGAACGGAGAGTGGTAAACATTTAGAACAGTTTACCTGAACCCATGATTGAGGCAACATCTGTGCAGCAGTTCAAAAGGTTGTTAGATTTATATTTTACCACTATTCGATTCAGAGAACGATTGCACACTTACAATGACATATCACATTTGTGAGTCACGAAATATCGTAAGTCAGATATTTTAAATGTTACATGAGAACAACAAGGATATTCACGGTTGACAACTTTTATACCGTTTTTCACCATATTTCGAAAGAGTAGCACAGAATTCATTTCTACTTGCTCTATAATACAGTATTCAGAATAACTGTACTGAGTTCGCTTGCACTATAGTTTTCAGCAAACCACTCCAGACATTTACCACTCGTCGTTCCAAGCACAGGGGATGGGGAACTCGCTTCATATCGGAAACCACAAACTTGTATTCGTGTTCGCGTGTACTGCAAGGTGTTCGCAAGTGGAGCAGTGGCAGTAACAAACGGTATGCCAGGGTGGACAGTCCCGATCTCTCGCACCTGTCCTCGTACGGCAAGCCTCACAAACTGGGGATGAGACTAGTAACGACGTGTTGAACCCGTTCGATCTCCTGCGCGTCGCCGCGAGTGCTCGGAAATAAACGGGTGAGCCGTACGCTAGCATTGGTTTGATGATGGAGAAGAAGAGGCGAGTGGCAACCTCTTCAGACCAGATGCGGAAACTACGTTTGAGTGCCCAGAAACGCCGGTTAAATGTGAAGTTGGATTTGAAATAATAATAATAAAAAGAAAAAAGGAATTTACTTTCCGAACAACCTAACACTTTCATAATTTGCTTGGATGAAATATTCCGATTGCGTATCTCCAGATATGATAACCGGATCCGTCGCGCTTCTGAGTCCTTAACAGTAGCAAAAATACGTCAAATTGTAACGATGGTGATAATGGAACTGTGAAACACCTAGCGCGTTCGATATGTCGTACAGAAAAAAAGCTGAGACAAATTTAGACTTAATGGGGAGTGTTCGGAAGTAAACCACACCAGAGGAGCTATCTACCATAATTAGTCAACCAAAGCTTGCGAAGGACGAGAAGTTGATCTTGGAGAACTGAGGCTCCGAGTTTTGACGAGTGTTAAAGTGTACACATAGATTGAACAGTTTGACGATGAAAGTGGGTGGTGGCCTCAAAACGAAGATAAAAAGTTCGACATAGAAATGGTGAAATTCCACCGCTTTCCGAGTAGAGGGGGGTTGTATGCACTGAGGTAAAGATATAGACGAAAATTTGTGGAAGTAGGCTTGTCGCGTGTATTAGTGAGTCTTCGCAGACAAACGCTAGTGTGTCAAATAGCGGCCGACTGGTCTGCGCGTTTGATTTGCAACCATAAGGTCCCCGGTTCGAATCTGAATAGGGGTGGGTGTCCTCGCCGTATACTCAGCCCGCGCGGGACTAGTGGTGGTCGCCCTGCAGCGAAGCGCCGTTACGGCTTACAGCTAACACATTATTTATTATTACAAATAGCGCCAGGACATTCAAGAACAATGTAATGATCTCTAGGGGAAAATCCGGGGATCGCCTACAGCATGGACGTTTGAATAGACATGTAGCAAAGGGTTTCTTTTTGAGCCTTTGAGACAACAAATGGCGAATAAGAATCGAAATACCAACTAGTAAATTATGTTCACGCTAAGACGTGCAGCTAGAGAACAGCTCTTTTCAGTAATTCTCATCAGTTCATTGTAACCAAAAGAAGGTATCGTTCAATGCAGTAATTTTCCAAGAGGTAGGTCGAATATAGATAAACCCCGAGCGTTTGTACGAGGTCAGTAGATTGGATTGAAGCTTAGGTCGATTAACTTATGACAGGCCTCGTAGCCGACAGCGCGCTGTCAGTATCTGACAAGAAAGAATTTCCTCGGGATCTGACCAAAGGAAGGGATTGTAGGAGGACCATCTGCGTGCACAATTCGGGTTGGGTCAGCCTGATGGCGATTGCTATAATCGACTTTAATGGACTTATCCTGAGGGCCTTGGGATAACTTAGCGGCATGGAGTAAACGACTTTAAAGGCATATGCTATCCGGATTTCATGTTCGCTTAGGAGTAAATGCTTCATGATAGCGCTTTTGATGGTGCTGGCCGTGCCTCTTTGTTATTCTCCGTGGCTTAACGGCTACGTAAGCAAGACCATACTCAGTGATGTGACCAACAGAGGTAAAGCCGTGGTGAACAAATTGATCAACAACTTCCACTAAGGATTTGGCTATAGTTAGGATCGGTGGCTGATCGGCCGAATCGTGAATCTTGAAAGCGTGAAGCACATGTCGGAGATGCAGTACTTCGCAACGCTATATCCAGAAAAGTATGCGCAGAGACTGTCTTGGTCATGATGAAGCGCGTCGTCCGCTTACTCCACGTCTGTCCGTTGATTACCCGGTGAAAGATACACTTTAAAAGAAACTGACAGAAAAGAGCCAATTGCACTCAACTCGATCATATATTTGAAGAGCAGAGGGGACTCAGTTATGCATTCTCAGCTGATCGCCTAGTTCGGCCGACACTACAGGGCTTGTGTGTTGGCAGCAATCAATACGCGTGTGTGATTCGTTCCTTACCTTCACTGCGCTCATTGGCCTATGCTCCCTGTCTATTCAAAAGCCGACTGAGAACCTAGCGTGTACTGCTATGTGGTTACGTACTAAACGTTAGTACCCAATGCAGGACTAATTGGTCATACGAGACAATTCCATTGCTCCGCACTCGTTCTTGACTTCACTCGGGGTATGTGTAGCATTTTGCCACAGCATCGATTGGCCGCCCAGCCGGTATGTTCAGCTAGATGTAGGCGATCGCAGGGCCAAGCATGCAAAGGAGGTGATTTGAGCAACGTCACAGGTTTGGTACACAAGCGAAATGGATGCAAGGTATTGTTGCTTACCTATAGACCGGAAGCCGGAGGTGAGTAGCGAAGGAAGGAGTATGCTGAGAGCGGATGTTGAATGATTAACAAGCGTGCACGGTCCAGTTCGACCATTGGGGAGAGGGTGAACACAGTCCCCATTCCATCCAGGAATAGGACCATAGTCCAGCTCTAGTAACGAGCCTTCTTGGGTACCGAAAAAGATTCTGAGAACAGGGAGGATAAGATAGCAGTGCGCGAATGTTGGCTAGGAATAAAGCGGACAGGTACAAAACAACGTCGTAGTTTACTGCGCGAATGTTGCTTCACAGCTAACGTTGTGAAAATGAAAAATACAAAACGTTGTAACATTAGAAACCAGCGTGTCCTCCTACCTCCCAAGCCCATGAACAACGCTATGCAAAAACATGCAGCCGAATACCGATGGTTGAAGCAGAGAAACCATGGGACTGAGTTTCCTGACATCTGTTGTACAGCATAACTGTGCAAAGTCAGATGGAAGTACTGAGTAAAAAAAACCCACATACCTTCCGTTTTCGGTTGCCTCGAAACAAACCAAAGTGAGGTTGTCCGTGGGCAAACAGTAGAGTGGATCTGGCATAACTTGCGGTACTGACTGGCTGGATTGGTTACCGCTCCGGTTGACGGAATAAGTCATTCCAAGGATGAATATTTCCAGCGGTGTGGCAATACATAATAAATGTCGAATGTGATTGGGGAGCACGCCTGTGATAACAGGGGGAGAGAGGAGAAAGAGTGGAATACGAGGTCCAACAACAGATATAAGCGAGTCTTAGAGCAGATCGCAAGTGGAAGACGCAACAGACTGAGGACATTTATCAATGAAACAACTGATCGCTGCTGAAACGAAGAAACAACGTGCAATTTCCGATCTATTGCGACATGATTTTCTGCAAATATCAAGCGAGGAATTTCCTTTCGATTTAGCCTGGAAAGTCACAGAGAACAAATTTGTCATGGAATGAAATTTGATGAAATTTCATGGCCTGTACAAAATTAAAAATCCAGAGATTAAAAATAAAATGCGCTCAACGGTAACGAAGACTGAAAGGAACTAGAAAGAGCGGACGAAAAAATGTACCAGATCTGTGTACACGCGATTGAGCAATGGTTCGATTCCGTTTAACAACATCTGTCTGGCCGAGGTGTCGCCAAAAAATGGACTGTTTGCAAGGCGTGTCAACAGTGAGGTGTTATACCGTGATGTAGCCCCCGAAGTAACTTGCCGTTTTGGGCTTAATAGAATTTGATCATAGCTCAGCGCATGAACCATTTTCGAAGAGATGCATAACGTCAGTGAAACTGGACACATTCGTGAAAGAAATGAGAACAGAATTGAACAGATTTGTTTTATGATTTTATGACTCTGTGTCCACTTGATACGAACACCTGTCAACGAATCAGACAGGGCTCTAAGTAGCTCACATGAAAGACTGGGACAAAGGTAACGAGTGGTATCAGCTATTAAGCGGTGACGAGCATTGATACCAACCATGGGCCTTTACTGTCCTCCGCCCTATACTTCAAGTATGATGGTACAGTATGAATAACCAGCAATTTCATCCACAGAGAGCGAACGTCTCTACCCAGAATTGAACTGACTACTGGTTGGTTCGGCGGAGCTGTATGCCACCGGGCGCGTCCCCAGGTTGCGGATCGTAGAACGCCTTCTATGTGAACAAGTCTCGGCTGTTCGTAGGCGAGATGAAAAAGCAGTCGCGGACAATCAGCGGCAACGTCCTAGAGCGTTCTGAGCTGGTCACTTGGTTCCTCAGTACATACCACAAGAGCTCGCAAGACGACGCTGTGTCAAAGCCAATGTGATCGGCTATAGGGTTACTGACCACTCACTTCTGATCACAGAAGTGAATACTTAAGAAAGGGCGGATGAATAACTTCGATGGCCACCGGCTTTTATGAGAGCGTATGAGCCACCTGGCTGTCAACGGCCTTTGTGCTTCGCATCAAGTTCGGTAGTCCAGGGAATCCTATCCTCCTCGCTGCTTCACTGGGGCTCTCTGGGCGCCCTGAGTAGTTTGTTTCTACTCGGAAGCCGTTCACTTAGATAGCTGGCTCCAAACGCTTGCGGTATATGTCAATCGCCCTGCTGCCTTGCGGGTTAGGTCTTTATGACCCAAAGCTCCGGGTGGGGTCCCCTAAGCCAACCCTCTTCCTCGACCTGGGCAACCGGGAAGTACCATAAGCCCACAACCTATGGATCCATGTCTCGACAATTCTTCGCTCGCTCTCTCCGCTCTCACTCCATCTGCTCGCACTCGCGCGAAACGCTAGCGGCTGAACCTGGCAAGCCACGTTTTATCCCACCACCGTTTAGTCACTTTATTCCATGTTTGTTCAACTCCCTATTCTTGGTCTTCTCCGTTTTCGAGTTCACAACATCGTGTCGCCTTGGGCAAGCGTTTTAGCTATACGGATCCGGAGCCTAGGTCCGAGGATGCGCCAAGTAGTGTTAAAAAGCCATTACTAGCGCCCAGTTCTCAATTTAAGCTGGCAACCTTCAATGTTCGGACGTTTATGCAGATTGGATCACAGACAGCCGTTGCTCGCAGTCTAGAAACTACAGCCATTGATGTCTGCCGTCTCAGTGAAACCTGTTTACAGGACTCTAGCAGGATGCTGCGACTAGTTGCACGTCTGCGAATTCCACTGGCATTTGCATTTTGCGCCTACCTGGAGATTCAACTTCCGAAGCCGCTGGCTATGCTTGCGTGGGGATTGCATTGAGCACACGTGCTGCGGCCGTGCTACTAGACTGGATCCCTGTTAACACTCAACTATGCGCGAGCCGACTTGAAACCTCAGTGCGACTGTCCAGGCGCGAAGACAGCAGACGCTGTCTATCCATTGTTGCAGCGTACGCTCCCATATATTGCAGTCCGGAGTCAGTTAAGGATGAGTTCTATGGCCACCTGACTGACCTTCTCCGTAAAAAGCGCCGTACCGACATCGTGGTGATCGCCGGGGACTTGAACGCGCAGGTGAATAGACTTGAAGTTGACGAACGTGAAATTGGTGGTTAACACGGCTATGGCACTCGCAGAACTGACAACGGTGGTCCATTACTTTGCGCCGATCACGGCCTCTTTCTGTTGAGCACTAGCTTTCGGGGGTCCTGGCGCCAACGCGCCACCTGGAGACCCGCATCACCTGGCCAGCCGTGGACAAAAATTGACCACATCACCATTAGCTATCGCTGACGGGGTTCCATAAAGGGTTGCAAACCAATCTGGAGTACCTATCTCACTTCGGATCATGTGCTGGTGTGTGCCAAGGTTGCGCTACGTTTTGGTGGCTCCCAGAAACGGTTTAACGTGGCTAAGCTTTCTGCCCCGAAGGATGCCTTGGCCTCACGGCTGAAGAATGCCTCATGAACAGACATTGAAACACACTAGACACACATCCGCGGCGCCATGTACAACTCTGCAACCCTGGTCTGTAGTTTCACCAGTAGTCCTGTCAAGCACTGGATCTGCACGATCCCTCCAATCTCCCGAAGTCTGTAGAGCGATTCGTGTTAGCGTTAATTACAATTCACTAGGCAAGACTACTAACGGTGAGCTCAAACAACTGGTGGACGCAGCGGGTCAATGAGATGGAGCAAGCGACCACCTCGGGGAATTTCGGTAAGCTTCTCCTCCTGATCCGATCCACTGGCGGCAAAAGGTCGACTGTAAGCAAACTTTTATGCGAAACCAATGGAGAACCAATCTACTGTCAACAACTCCGACTCGAGCATTTTGAGCATCTGTTTAATTGGCCAGCAGTATCAATGAGTTCCAATTCTGGAACCCGGAGCGCTCCCTGGTGTGTAGACGCTTCACCATCATCCGAAGCGGTTGCCCACGACCTTCGCCGTTTAAAGCGCTACAAAGCCCCTGGCCCAGATGAACACCCTCCGGCCCTTTTTCAAAGATGGCGGACCGTCACTTGTTAAGGAGATAACTTCTCTCCTAAAAAAGAGATCTGGGTCACCGAAGTTATCCCATCCGATTGGAGCCTGGCGGATATCGTGCCCGTCTTCAAAAAGGGTACCCGAACTGACTGCGCCAACCACAGACGGATTAGTCTAATCTGTGTTGCTTCCAAGATGCTCTCAGCTCTGCTTCTAAGGCGGCTCAGCCAGGTACGCGAACAGAGCATACGTGAAGAGCAAGCTGGGTCCCGCTTAGGTCGGAGTTACATCGATCCCATCTTTACACTCCGAGCGTCATCAAACCTTTGGTCAGCCAACGATCATTGTCTTCTCAGACACACGAGCCGCATTCGACTCTGTCGACAGAGCTGCTCTCTGGAGTTGTCTACTGAGGAGGGGAGTGCACAAAAAGTATGTCACCTTACTTCAAGCCATCTACTCTTAAACCTCGAGCCGAGTGCGGGTGTACGGCGGACTTTCACTCCCCCTTTGGTATCATCAGTGGCGTGAGACAGGGCTGCCAGCATCCCCTTTATTGTTCAATTTCGCTTTAGACGAAATTTTGGAGTGCTCTTGGAGAACTGCGAACCCAGCAGCGTCGAGCTGCTTCCGGGGAACCGACTTCGGGATTTGGAGTATGCAGACGACATCGCCGTAATCTGCGATTCCTCACCGGCTGCCCAAAATGTCCTGTGTAGGTTGGAGATGTCTGCCTCCAGTTTGGGATGACCTTCGCACCATCGAAATGCAAGATTTCCCTGCAGGACTGGCTGGGCGCTGCTACCTACCTTACCCTTCTAGGTCATTCATTGGAAGTTGGACAAGTTCGTTTACCTCGGAATTTGCCTCAGCGTTAATGTTTTAACGAATGAGGTCTCTTCGCGCGTCTCCTAGGCTCGGGTTGTTTTTGCAAATCTCCGCCATCTCTGGCATCGAGGTGATCTGAGTCGATCTCTGAAGGGCCGAGTTTACAATGCCACAGTGAGAGCGGTTCTCCTCTATGGCTGCGAGACTTGGCCTGTTCGCGCAAAGGATGTTGAGAGGCTGTCTGTTTTTGATCACCGCTGCCTTCGGAGCATTGCTGGTGTACGATGGCAACATCACACTAGGAATGAAGATATTCGACGAAGGATTTTCAGATCAGACAGACTTTGCCGGCCACTGAGCAGTATAATTTCTCTGCGCAGACTTCAGTGGCTTGGGCATGTTCTTCGCATGCCTACTCATCGCTTACCTCGCCGTGCCCTCTTCGCGCACGCAGAAGTCGGCTGGAAGCGAAAGCAAGGTGGCCAACGTATGACTTGGGCCAGGAGCATGAAGGAGCTAACGTCAAAGTTAGCCGTGGTCGGGCGCTCTCGGCTCCCTGGCTGGAGTGTGAAGGATCCGGAACACACATGGCTGGAAACACTCTCGGATATGGCAAGAAATCGTGCACAATGGCGGACTTGTTGTGACTCACTATTCCCATGAACATCGGTTTTTTCCCTCTATCTTCGTATGTTTATTGTATTTTCCATACATTGTGGCACTATGTCAATTGTACTATTGGCCTGTGAAATATATATATATATATATATATATATATATATATTGAATAGATACTGACTTATGAAAGGTGAGTGGGATAACCAAATCGGAGAAGCTAAATGCTGGACATACGAATACTCATCATTAGCATTATTCTACACAACCTAGCGGTGAGAAAAATCCAAGCAACTGTGCTGCTATGCAATTCAATTAGGTGGTAATAAGTAAAGGATGAAAAGCGAAA